TTGGTAAATAATAATCAAATTACAATAACTAATATTAAATGGTAATAAACAAAATTATCAAAATAAATTAAGAAAATATATATTAAAAAATTCAACAAAATTAACAAAATAAAGTAAGTATTTAATGATAAATAATAAAAAAAATTACAATAAAAAAGTCCAATAAACAACTAATTACAAATATAATAAAAAAATAAAATCTATCGATGTATGCAGTGCGAATGTGTTCCGCAGGGCGATGGCTGTCGGTCTCGAGGAGGATTTCTTCGTATAACTGTTGTGAGTCCTCGCTCTCATCATCATGACCATCATCATTATCGTCATCGTCATGAGCAGATAAATTTTGTTGATGAGGAGCTGATGACGATGTAGAACCTCCATAAAATAAGGACCTTGGAGGTGTATGACCGACTATCCTACCGCTCATAGATAACTACGAAAACTCATAAAACCCAGACATCGCGCTGTGTGAAAACTGTACAGGAGGTGTCTGCGTGGTGGCAATGGGTGATGAGGCTGCACCCACCAAATAACCAGCATACGAACCCCAAGTTGGATCTACAAATATAGACCCATAATATCTTCCAAGAGGGGTCATATAACTCTGTTACGGTGGCGGCGGTGGGGTCATAAAACCAGGAGACGGTGGCGGTGTCGGCATCTGATGAGGGAAACTAGAAGATGGTGGCGGTGGCGGAATCTGGTAATGGAAAGGCGGTGGCAGCATCAGATATGGCTGCGGGGTGTAGGTCGTTGCAAACGGTGGGTACTGTGAAGGTCCTGCTGGTGCAACTGAGGACAAACCGGAAGGACCTGCTCTCCGTCGATGAGTTGGGGGACGATGGTGGTGTGTCGGTGAACGTCTCTGTCGACATCGTTGAAACGTCTCTGTTGAACCACTCATAATAACCGTCAGCAACAGTCAAGAGGTTATCAAAAAATGGGTCTCTACGGGGAAGGTGCCGATGTCGATCCTCCCACAACACGACCTATTAATAATGCTTCAACAGCCAATCTGTATCTGACTTGCCGCGTCTATCTGTGCTATGTAACTCGTCCATATTGCAAGGTACTTCCGAAATTGGTTGAAAACAACCAAATTGCTGGAGCATACGATCAGTGGAGTGCCACTCGATGATCGCATAACAGATCAAAGGGCCCATCACCATCCAAACATCTGATGGGCCCCTCAACTCAAGTGGGATCACCATCCTCACATCATCATTAGAATATGTCACACATTCAAACTAAAACAAATATATATAATTTTTATCAAAGTAATAATCTAATTATATAACTATAATATAAAATCAATTTTTAAACATTAAAATGCATACCTGTGTGCCAGCCTTCTGATTGATTAACACCCTAATTTTTTCTAAATCTTCAGGTAGCTCCTAATGATTTTTCTTATCAGTAGACCACCTATTAAAGGAAAAAAAATTTATTATACACTGTATAAAATGATTAATATACGAAATTAGTTTTATAATTACCTCAATAATAGCGGAAATACGAATGGGTTCTTGACAACAGGACATAAAAAGGGCAATCGATACCATGCCCAAGACTGTAGCAGTAGGAGACATCTGCCAATAGCATTTTTCCTATAGTCAGTCGCTCGACACATCTCCCTGTATAGGAAACCCAAAACTATCAAGCCCCAACTGAGTGATCCGGCCAGAAGAAAGTCTCCAAGATGTCGCAACCACATACAGTGAACTTGGTTGCGTGATTTGTCCTGCATCAGCAACCCTCCTATCAGTTGTAGTATGAATGCCCGTGCATACATTTTAACCTCATCATCGGAGGCGTCCTCACTCAACTCTCGAAAATCAGCTGTTAAAACTTTCCAGGACACGTCTTAGATAATCCCGACACAAAGCAATCCAAGAACCGTGCGCCATCCCCGATATCACATCTCCATCCACCGGAAGCCCCAGGTACATAGAAACATCATCAAGTGTAATCGTGCAATCTATGCACGGAAGATTGAGTGTTTGGGTCTCCGGCCTCCATCGCTCCACTAAGGCAGCAATTAGGTCTGGTTCTATCATACATTGACCCTCATATCATACACGACTAGGTATCACTAACTTAAGGTTCCTAATAAAAAGATCTAATATACGGTCCCTCTCCTAAAATTAAATAATTAAAAAATTAATTTTTAAACTAATAAGCATGCATTAAATAAATAAATAAATTATTACTAATAATTTAAATTTAATTAAAACGTTAAAATGTTATTGTATCAGCAAAACGTCGAGATATATGATTTCCATCCAAGCGCAGTCCGCCTTCTATTTTATATATGCAAAAAAATTAAATAAATAAAATATTAAAAAAATTAAATACTTAAATAAATTACAACCAAAATACTAAATATAATAAAATATACCTTAAACAATTATAAGAGAATATAAGAGTATTTGAGAGAAGTTGAAAGGATTTGATGTGATGAAAGTGATTGAGAATGGGGGTATTTATAGGGAGGGATGGGGTGTGAACGGTCGGGGTAGGTGGGTAATTAAACCTAAGGCGCACTACAGGGGGCGCGCCTTTCTGACGCGTGTCAGAATTAAAGATAAGGTGTGGCCCTTGCCCCGCGCTATATCCCTAAGTTGCATAAGGCGCCCCTAGGGGCCGCTCTTTAGGCACGTATATCCAACTCAACATAAGGCGCGCTGTAGGGGGCGCACCTTACCCCAGGATGTGCCAGATCAGCATGAAGCGCGCTGCAGGAGGGGCACCTTTCTGAAAATGGTATTAGATTGGGAAATATAGTCTGAATGGTGCCTGACAGGGAATTAAAGTTCCCTAGGGTGATTTTTTCCTGGTGAAAACTGAAATGTCAGAGACGCTCCCAGTAGTGCACGAGAAAAGGGAGAGGAGATAAAAATATCTTCCTTTATAACATGTAAATGAACCACGAATAATAAAGAAAGAGGTATCATTCGAAGAAAAAAAACAAAACCACTTTTTCCAAAAAAAAATTAGAAGGTAAATTAGATAATAAAAAAAAGGAAGAATGAAAGCACCAAAACAAAATAGAAGCATTTTTCAAAGGAAATCAGTAATCCCAACACTAAAACTAGAAAGAAAACAAAAAAGAAAACAAGAAAATCGAGAGAAATGAGGGAACTTATCTTACTTGTTGATCATCGAAGAGCAAGTGGTTCACCGGGAAGCTCAAACGTTGCTAGATTTATGAGTTAACGAGAGATGTTTTCCATATTTAGGATTTTTCGTTTGGTTTTTGGGGAAAAGACCTCGAATCAAGATTTAGTTGGACGAGCTGAATGTTTCGAGGCCTTTGGACTTATCCCTGGCCACCGTAGATGGTTACCATTGACGGCGATGATCGGTGGTCTCCCACGGAGGAGAGAAGGGAGTTGAGAGAAAACCAAGTTTTCTCTTTTCTTTTATTTTTTAAGAGTGAGTTGCAAATGGAGGATTTCAGGCCTTTTTGGCCATGAGTTTGGGATTTTTATACCCGTGTCAAACGTTTTCGTTTCAGAGGAAGGGGATGCACGTTTCAGCATATGGGCAAAGCCCAAAATAGGGTCTTTGTATTTTGTATTGTTCCGTTTTAGTCACTAAATGAATTTATCCTTTTTATTCTTAGATCGTTCAATTTATTAACATTTATATTTTGGTCATTGTTCTTCTAGTTTAATGCTTGAATGTTTTCTTGGAGTTATTGCTTGTTTAGTTCCTATAACTTCTCCACTATCCTGATTCGATCTTTAGTGTTATTTTCAAATATTTATTTATTTAAGTTAGATTTTGTTATTTAGATTTCTTTTGATTTTGTTCTTATTGGCCATATTTATTTTGATTATATTTGATAAGCATCTTTGTGTTCTATCGTTCTCTACTTCGTTGGTTTTTTTATTAATAATTACTTTTTTTATTAAGCTAAGGTGATTGCAAAGTAGTATTCATTCTAAATACTCTAAACCATTTTACAATGAACGCTCAATCACCCTGCTTCAACTGTTGGTGCTCGAACCCGTGACCTCTAGAAACAACAACGATTTCTTTAATCATTGAGGTAAGTTGGTTCTTGCTTTTATTAATAATTACTAGAAGTTATGTTTATGTACTATACGTATATATTTATTTAATATGTTTTGACTTTGATATATTTTGTATATAATTTGATGTTTTTAGAATTAATATTTTTGAAAAAAAAATTACAAAATGCTCATTATTGTTTGTTAATATTTTTTTCATGTCTCCTGCTCAAATATTTTCAAGAACACTTATTGTAGAATGAACATGAAAAAGAACTACTTTATAGAAGTAATGTGATTCGATATGATATTCGGAAAAAAAATGAACTTAAAATAAATCGAGCCTTTTTGAATAAAAATGTTTTATTTTTTTCATAAAAATGATTTTTTTCATAAAAATGATTTTATTCTCCTACCTTAAAAAGAATTACTTGATTATTAGTTTTATCCATTCATTACTCGATTTGTGCAAATTTTGTTATTTTAAATAAATAAGGGATATTCTTTTATAGAGAAGAAATACATAGGATAGACTTCTTATTAGTAGATGTGCAAATCTCGTGATTTCTTTTGAGATTGAGAAATGCCCCTTTAACAAATAATTTAAATAAATTGATCAATGTTGAGAAAAAATGTTATTATTGTGCGAAAGAAAATGAGAAAACAATTATTAAGATTTTAACGTGAGAGCTTCTATATTAAATAGTAAATTGTATGATTAATTATTTCAAAATTTAAACGAATTAGAAATCACTCAAACTATTATATTATAAACCTTAAAATTATAGAATAGTATGAAGAAATTAAAAAAAGTAAAAGAAAATTTAATGAACTTAGTTATACAAAATAATTAAGCCAAACTCAATCTCATTGTTATTATTTTCTCTTTTGATGGTAAAATAAAGTGTCTTCAAGTTACATTAGACTTAATATTATTCAGATTGGATTGAGACTGCCACCAATTCAAGCTGGTGATTATTATTAGCGGTAGTGTTCTTGACCATTAACGCATTGCTAATTGTTGAATGTTCAACGGAGAAGCTTCGAGGGTGGAATTAGTGCTATAAGCACTTCTGGCGACGAGCTCATTCCAAGCGTCGGTAGTATGGACACCGTCCCAAAATACGAATCGCCTTGGCCTATTACATGGATTTGAATTACGAAGACAAAGCTCTCCGCCACCGCCTCCGGTTATGCAGCACGAACTATTCGACACTAAATGACCCAAAAATATAATGATTGTAATCGTAAAATAATAATTTTAATGTCACGTTAGGGTCACAGTTTAAATAATTAAATCGAAACGAGAGTTAAAGTTAGGGTTGTTTACCGAATGTAGCAAGATCAGCCTGACTTCCGGAGGGATTAAGATAAGTAAAAGTAGCATTGGGTAGGTGGTTGTTAAGTTGACCGATGAGGGGCCTGAGTCCACCATTGAAAATCGTTGCAGCCTCGTTTAATTTGTCTACACAAAGTGACCCATTGGTTCCATACTCGGAAATTGCGAATGGAGTGCAACCAAGCAGCCCCAGTCCGAACACCGCAAACTTCCTAGCACCCCTATCGTACAAAGTCTGGTATAGTATTATAAAATTTAGTTCAGAAATACTCTTGCATCTATTCGAGAATTCGAACCATAATCTCTCTATTTGAATAAATATATTATATTCATTTGTAAAATGGGTATAGTCAAAAAAACTCATGGACGGAGTTGAAAGCTTAAGTAATAATAGATGGCCCGGCTATCATGTTTAATTTTTTTTTGGGTAAACTACATATTTACTATTTAAATATTACTTTTATTTCGTTTTGATATTCAAACATTATTTTTTCCAAAACCATACCTAACGTTCAATTTATGTCTCATTTTGGTACCTGCCGTTAAAACTAAACGACGATGTTGATGTGTCACCATAGGGTAATATCAAATTATCATTGAAAAATTAAAAATACATATCAACAGTTCTCTTATTTTTTTAATGACAAGGTACCAATGGAAACCTAAATTAAATGTTAGGTATGAATTTGAAAAGAAATAAAGTTTAAATACCAAAACTGAATAAAAGTAATAGTTTAGGAACCAAATATGTAATTTTCCCTTTTCTTTGTTTAGTGTTTTTAACTTTCTAACACTCTTCTTAACGTGCATATTAGGAGAAAACAATACAAATTACCTGAAGTTGGCCTGACAATTGTTGTAGGAGCCGATCAGTATATTCCGACAGATTGAAAAGTCGGCTGGTGTTATAGGATTCAGGCCTGAAATAATTGTTGATATAGTCATTGCTTCCTATTTGAACCGAATAAATGCATCGATTTAGAAGTGAATTCGTCGCTGAATTATTTCGCATTCTCAATCGAATTCTTGACGTTATACATATGTGATTTAGTATCTGAATGTTGAAAGGTATTCTATCACCCTGAACAAGACAATAGAATTGTATATTGTCATGCAATAATATGAGATTGTTCCAAAATATATGATTTCTAATGATGAATGTTTTTTTTCAAATTTACCAGATTTCTTCCGGTTTCATCGCGAATACCTGCCGAACCCGATGCATAGTTCACACCATTGGAAATGTTTTCCCCTACTAACTTGGCAAAAGGAGGTATAGAAATATTGAACCCCAGAAATTCAGCTGTCATCGCATACATAAATGGATTACATTTTGATAGTAATCGTAAAATTTGAAAATGTAAGGAGAAGGAGAAGATAAAAGGACAAACCGATAAAATCATGAATGGTTCGGCCATTGCTAAACCTTCCGGTTGGTCCTTGGGGAAAATCGATCCCATAGGGTGGATAGTTTACTTTAGCTAACGTAGGAAGATTATTGTTGTTTCCATTATCTGATAACGAGTCACCAAAAATAAAGTAACATGGCACTTGCCGCAGAGCATTTGTCGTCCACAAGCTCAATAATGCTAACAATATTGAAATCGCCATCAACTCCAATAACTTATGTTTAAATTCCATGAAAGACACAAGAAAAAGAAAAGAAAACAGAAATGAAGATGGATAACTTGAGGAAAGATCAGGTAGGAAGGAAACTATATATAGAAGGAAAATTAGAAAGAAGTAGGAAGTCCACTTGTTATTAGCTTATTTAACTATGAATCTTAGACAGGTGGACCACGTTAAGAACAATGACGAAACTAGACATTTTACCTTTAAAGGGATTAATTATAACAAATAATTTTAATAATAACTTTATCTATTAAATCTTGTATATTTCTATATGATTTTATTAAATAAATATAAATTTATTAGATTTTTTTATTATAAATTCTCCATTCAAATGTTCTTGGAAAAATGAAATAAAATTATAATAGCATGTTTTGACACTACCTAAAATATTGAGAAAATTAATAGGCTTTATTTATAGAATAAAGTAAGAGCCTAACAGTATTTAAAATATTATTTGAGATTGTTGAATTTTTTTAATTTTATCCATTAAAATTTAAAAAAATAAAATTTAATCTCCTTTAATGTATATTTTCTTATTTTATTTTATTTAAATACTATAAAAATAAGGGAAAAGAACAAAACCGTGATTTAAGAAATAAAATCAATATTTTTTTAGTTCTAAGCTATTAGAAGTAAAAATATATTTTAATAAATAAATTCAAATTTATATATTTATGATTTTTTATTACTATTTAAATTGTATATATAAATTTTATATTTTAAGAAGATCAATTTAATTTTATTTATAAAAATATAAGTATATATTTTTTATTTTTTTCTTAATACATTGAAATAAATTTAACCTTTTTCCCCCCAAATAATGAGGATGTACTTGGCCCCTATGTAGAGGTTGTAATACCCCAAATATCAGGTCAGCGACTTTAGTGAAAAGTTTTAAAATTTGAGGATTTATTGAATAAATGATAAAAGATGAGAAAATTATTTGAAATAGTGCTTTAGACTAATTTGTATCAGTAGATGAATGAAGAGGGCATTTTGGTCCTTTAAAGGGGAATGAATTTAATATTCATTTTTAATAAGGTATTAAAGTATGGAAAATAAGGGGAAAGTGAAAGAAACCTAAGTTATTTTTCTCTCCTTCTTTCTCGTGGAAGAGCTCTCCTCCAAAGCCAAAGGTAAAGTTTATTTTGGCTTGTTTCTTCTTTCGTTTTTGGTTGGTTTTTTAAACATTGAGTATATAGAGGATTAAGGACGGATTAAGTAGGATCAAAACTAAGAGATTGATGAAATATTGGAGATTTAAGAAAATGAATTTTAAAATGATATGTTAAGAAATGGGTTTTTATTGATGTTTACTAGTATATTTGACATGTAAATGAAGTAAATGAGAGATTAGAAGCATTGGATGGGTTTAAAAACATGTTAGAAAAAGTGGTGTGATTCTTAGATTGAAATGTTCTTGGGAGATTTTATATGTTTTAAGAAGCTAAATGAAGAAAAGTTAGTAGGGATAAGTAAAGAAGAGTTTAATAGTATTGTTAAGTGTAAACATAAGGAAATTTGACAAAATTTGGGTAAGAATCGGGCTGAAAAATGGAAAAGTTGGGTAAGGGTATCGGTACTGATAGAACAGTACCGATAGTATAGGCTTAAAATTGGAAGAATCAGCTGAGTAGTATCGATACGAATTCAATTGGTATCGATACTGAGAGGGGGTATCGATATTATGGAGAAGGTATCGATACCATTGATTACAAAATGCAGAAATGATATCGATACTGTGAGAAAGTATCGGTACCATAGTATAGTAGTATTGGTACCATGGTACGGGTACCGATACTATTGAGACAGAAATTATAAGATAAGCTTAATTGTTATAGAAATTTAACTAATAGTACTTGTGAATATTATTAAAGTATATATGTTAGGGAATATACTAACATTTAGTACGATATATGTCTTTAATGGCTACTTATGTAAATCGTAATCAAACTCCATAGTCAAGCAAAACAAAAGACAAAGATAAAATAGCTGAGTAGTCAGATCTGCGTTTTGGATATAATAGCGAGGCAAGCCAAGTGTGTTCATTTATTGTGTACATATATGTTATGATAGTCGTAAATGTATGATTGCTTAATATATGTATGGTGATTACCAAATGGCACTTTGTGTGAAAAAATTAAGAAATTCATAGTGAGTTTATGAATTTCCGTATGGGCACTGTGCGTGCAAAAACTAAGAAATTCATAATGAGTTTATGAATTTTCGTTTAGGCACTTTATGTGCAAAAACTAAGAAACTCGTAATAAGTTTATGAATTTCTGTATGGGCACTATGTGTGCAAAAACTAAAAAATTCATAATGAGTTTATGAATTTCCGTATGGGCACTTTGTGTGCAAAAGCTAAGAAATTTGTAATATGTTTATGAATTTCCGTATGGGCACTGTGTGTGCTAAAACTAAGAAATTCATAATAAGTTTATGAATTTCCGTATGGGAACTTTGTGTGCAAAAACTAAGAAACTCATAATAAGTTTATGAATTTCCGTATGGGCACTTTGTGTGCAAAATCTAGGAAATTCGTAAAAAGTTTATGAATTTTCGTATGGGCACTGTGTGTGCAAAACTAAGAAATTCATAATAAGTTTATGAATTTCTGTATTGGTAGTGGGGTGCAACCCATGCAAATTATAATAAGTTTGTGAGTTACCGTATTGGCACTACATGTGCAAACTATATAGCTTATAATGAATTGAAAGAGTTAATTGATATTATGAATAATTATTAGAGTAGAAATTGTTCTAAAATAAAAAAAAAACTAAATGCCTAAGTGTGCATTTAGCAGAAAGGTGTCAATAATGCAAGTTAGAAGAAAGGTTAAATGCCTTTAGGATAAAAGACTAAATACCTAACTGAGCTTTTTGACAAAAAGGTGTCATTAATGCAAGTTAGATGCCTAACGGTGCATTTTGGCAGAAAGGTGCCACTAATACATGTTAGATGTATAACAATGCATAATTTGTATGAAAGGATGCCACAAATAAAAATACATAGCGGCATATTAACGAAATATAAGGTGTCGCTCATGATAATTATAAAAGATAAAGGATTATTTGGCACTTTGGTGCAATACATGTACATTACTTTCTCATTTAACGTACATAGGGAAAATAAAGAATAATTGTGAAAAATATGCAGAAGGATATGTATGATGGGACTACTAAGAATAATTTTGATTATTGTATGAAAGAAAAATCTGGTTTAACTGAGAAGGATTTATTTGATCCTTATGAAGTATGCGATTTAATTCGTCATTAAATAGTCATGAGATACTTATGTATAAATTGCATATTCTTTACAATATTATGTCTCACTATGTATATACTTAACGTGTGTTGATTTCACGCGTAGGTAGTAAAAAAGCCTAGTCGGGTACTGGGAGCAGGAGCAGCTATCATCAATCTAAGGTTGACTCTCATCAGTAACTGTAGGACAATCGGGTTATTTTGAAAAATTAATAGCATGTAATCGAAATTAAGAAAAATTGCTCTAGAATGTACTTAAAGTGATAACTTTGATAATAGGTTTCAACGACTATTTTATTGTTGTATTAAAATGTTTTTGGTTTTAAATTTCAAAACAAAATTTATGGGTTTTACAAATGGGTGAATGTTTTTAAAAGTCATGTGACACCTATGACTTATGTACGGGAACATATACGGGGAAATGGGTGTTATAAAGGCTGATGCACTAAGCCCCGATAGGGGCCAAGTGCATCCTCAATTAGTTGTCAAATTTGCAATGCTTGTTTCATTATTTAAAATATAAAAGATATCGAGACTTAACTATTTTTAATTTAATTAACTGCATCACTTGAATATGTCAATTTCATCTCCAAACTATAACCTTTATTTTAAATTGGTTTTCAAGCTTTTGAATCTTTCAATTTAATTTTAAGTTCATCCAAATATGTAATTAGTTTCAATTACAATTTACTTAAATTTTATTTTTTTCAAGTACATAATAATATAACATGGTCTGGCAATTTTATTAATAAAAGTTTGAGGAATATTTCATAATGGTAGTCATAGTTTGAGGATTAAATTGAAATATTTACAAATTTAGGGACCAAATTAGGATGATGAATATATAACTGTTGATGAGTGATGCAAAAACTTATCTTTTAATTTTTATTTAATTTTATGATTAATTTTTATATAAAATATAAAATAGTTAAAAATATTAATTAAAATAATCAAAATTAAAAATAATAACTTGTAACCATCATGGCATGGAGACTCCAGCTCCCACGCCCCAAAGACGTTACTACAGGCCACTTGAAATCCGGGTATTCAGATCATTAAGTATGTGGAACCGATGGAGTAGACGATATCTTCAACGTTTACACTTACGTAATCAGAAACTCACATCAAAATAAAAAATAAGATAAAGAAAATTTTGAATAAAATAGATGATTTTTCACAATCAAATTTTATTCATTAATTTTTTTAACTCGAATATAAAAGAAGAAAGTCTGTTTATAGGCTCAGAAAAGAAATCTAAAACTAAAAAGATTGCAAGAATTAAGTTTAATTCAATTTCAAAGACAAAGTCTATTTATAGGCTTCTTACGAAAAATATAAAACATAATCATATGCTCTTCTAGTTCTCATGCTTTTTGCAAAATAAATAAGTCTGAGGAAAGGTTAGAGTGAATCATCCTTTGTGACTTTTGAAGAACTACGGACATAATTCCGGTACAAAATGGGCAGAGTTTCGGTACTACTAGAAGGGTCATCGAATTATCCTTTACTGGTGCCCTCTTGGTCCTGCCCGACCCTCGATTCTCACCCATTATAGGCTTAAAAAGATCAAGTTCAATTCGAGAGGTTGCATTTCCCTATGTCCATGCGAGGAAACTTAATTCTTCACTCGTAAATACAAGGCATATGTACCTCAGAGGTTACTTTCTAAAGACCATGGGGAGAAAAATAATTTTTTTTACGTAAGTGTAGCGTTCGC